AAAACACAGCGAACATGACAGACATGAGCCTCGAGCAGGTCATCTTGGAGCCCTTGCGGCTTCCTGGATGGTAACTTGAGCCGCCTTGGACTCAGATCAGGCCGTTGTGTTGTTATCGTGGGGCCGTTTTGGCCGTCTTGGTGCTTCTGAGGTTTGCGTTGCGAGAGCGGCGCTTCGCCAGCGAGAGCCCGAGAAGTGCGGGAGTTCGGGTCAACGTGCGTATTCTGGCCACTTCGCAGACTGGCGCTCTGCTCGTGCTTGCCGAGGAGGGTCAAGAGTCTGGAACGTGGAGCTGCTGCAGATTAGCACGGCGCTGCTCTGAATAATGGAACGTGGGAACAGGGCCCAGTCGAATTTGCGTTTTGGCGACTCCGTGGACCGTTCTCGTTCCGATGCCGCTCTGCAGCACAGGCGGCGCGAACACGCAGCGAAGGACGCATACGTACAGCCAGAACGACAACAGCAAGCCTTGCACAGCTCGAGCCACGAGCGAGGCCAGAGGGCCGCCCACGCGAACTCTCGCTGGGACGGGCCCTCCGCCGTGGCTGCTGCTACTGCAGGAGGGGATTTCACGCCGGGCCCCGTTCGTCGTCCGTCACCGTCGTCGCCGTCGCCGTCCAGTTTTGGGGCTCGAGGGGGAGGAGGAGGAGGAGGAGGAGGAGGAGGAGGAGGAGGAGGAGGAGGAGGAGGAGGAGGAGGAGGAGGAGGAGGGCGGCAAAGAAAGAGCTGTCCTTGCGCGCGTCTCTGGGCGCCCGCCGACCAGGATGTCGGGGCGGGCCCGGGCGTGGCGGCCAGGAGGCCCGGAGCTTCTGCAGAAGCGCCCGGGGCCCTCGAGCCCCAAACGGTTCGATCTTCGACCCTCGAAGTGGACGACGACGACGACGACGACCACGACGACGACCGCCACGGCGACGACGACGGCGACAACGGCGATCGACGTCGACGACGGACGACGGACGACGACGACGACGACGATGACGAAGACGAGCGACGAGGGACGAACGACGAGGGACGAACGACGAACGACGACGACGACGGCGGCGGCGGCGATCGGGTCGGTCGACCGCGGGGCGTAGGGAACGGGGAGGCTCACGAAAATTGCTGCATGCAGTTGGTTTCCGCCCCAGCGCCGAATATGTTCCTCAGTGCAGTGGCGCTCAACGCGCCAGGAGGCACCAGGAGAGGTGACTGCGCGAGCTGACTCGCCAACAATCCGTTCGCCATGGCCGCGGGTGTTTCTAGAGTGGTCCTGACCTGCAGTGTCCCCAGCTCTCTGCGCCACCTTGGAGCCCCTGAGGCCCCCTTGGCCTCGTGAGGGGCGCTTCGGAGACCCTCTGGGCCCCCTCCGGAATCCTGATGGACGCCTTCGGACGGGGCCAGGAGGTTAAATCCGGAACGCTCTCAGAGCGATCCGGAACGCTCTGGGAAGGCCGCGGCGCCCGCGACATCCTCCAGAGCCGCCGGATCTCAGATATTCTCAATGTATCCTCGCCCGATTTGATCTTCGATTTGGCTTTGTCTCACGCCGTGGGCCAGGGTCACTTCTGTCGGAAACTCGAACGTAAACATTACCAGTAGCGGGCGGCTCCTTCAATCCCAGGACTTTTTTCTGGGTCGGGGACGACGTCGGGGTGGTGTGGTACATACTTGTTCTTATCGATTCCCGAGGAATCAGCGCAAACGTATGCACCAGGATCCCCTAGACACCAGGATCTGTTCTCCTGTTTGCAAGTGTCAGTGCCGGGACCAGAAAAGCGTCGGTGCATAGAGCGGCACACGATCCCCCTTCTCGTCGTAAGTCGGGCATGTCCCTCTACAGGAGGAATCTTCAAGAGTAGCCAAAAAGTACTCCGGGGACGATCTTTCTATTATGTTTTACCACTCTTGGGCATGGGTGGACCATTCTCAAGTCTCCGTCCAAAATCCGCCGGTAGGAGGACACGCCCGACCTGATGTTCGTCCGACCCGAGACGGCGACGTTGAAGGGGCCCTGAGACACACAAATAAATACACACAAATACAAGGCTTCCCCAGAGGTTCCCATATTTTTCTTGGGTTCTTGTCTTCCCCCCCACTTCCCATATTTTCCCATATTTTCTTCCTTGACCTTCCAGGAGAGCTAAAAAATAGCTCGCGACTTAAAAACCTATCCCAGAGCTATTCTGCGTCTTGGTTTTAGGCTGTTTCGTCTCGTTTTTTATGTTTTTACGTCTCCAGTGCTGAAAATTAGCTCTCTGGAAGGTCAGGGTTGGGCATCGACGATTACTTGTGTCTGTGTGTTTTTTGTTCCTCCGGCGACGTCGGCGTCGGTGCCCGAGCCCCGCAGGCGCCTGCGCGCCCGCGCCCGCCGAGCGGCGCGGCGCCGGGGCCGGGAAGGCCGCGGAGGGCGAGGCGGGGCACGGCGAGCAGGCCTGGGGCGGGTGCGGGAGGGGGCGGGCCGGGAGCTCTGATCGGGGCGGTCGAGACGGGTACGGTATTGTGTCGCGCCTGTCCCCCTACAGGGGGATGTTCGACGAAAAGTGAAAGATACCCCAAAAATACCCCCAAAAGGTCAAGAAGTACTCAAACCATAGTGCCCGGACTATGTATCGGGCTCTATACTATATACGGACTCCGGGAGTGTCTTAAAAGCACCCTTGCTTCTTAGAAGGCGCGGGCCTCATCTGTAGATGTAGGGCCAACGCCTTCTAAGAAGCAGGCTCCTTTTAATAAGCCTTCCCCCCCAAACCCCTTATGTGCGCCGACAAGGTAGTTGGGGAGGGTGGGGGGGTGGGGGAAAACGCAGGAGCCTGGTCCAAAATCACGAAGGCACGTTAGCCTCGATGCGTCACTGGGTTCCGAACTGTTGCCTCGCAGGCAAAAAAACACCCCAACGCATACCGTGGGCTGGACACACACACATGAACACACGCCAGCCGCAGCAAGCGCGGTGGCGGATATCATAATATCGTCGCCGGAGGTCTGGGCCCCTTCTACTCCCGTCGTTTTCATCATTCCCCTGCACCCCCTCCCTCCCTCACTCCTTCCCCCCATCCTGCTACGGGGTCCCCCACGTCATCCTCATCATCAGCATCGCCATCATCATCAGTATCATCATCATCATCATCATCATCATCATCATCATCATCAGCATCAGCATCAGCATCATCATCATAATCATCATCATCATCATCATAAGCATCATCATCGTCATCATCGTCGGCATCATCATTAGCAGCGGCAGCACCAGCATCAGCATCTTCATCATCACCATCGTCATCACCAGCATCACCATCATCGTCACCATCATCACCATTATCATTCGTGTGGTCACCACCATCATCACCACCATCATCACCAGTGCCATTGTTGCGATCATCACCATCAGCAGCAGCATCATCATCACCAGCAGCAGGAGCAGCAGCAGCAGCAGCAGCGTCAGCATCATCAGCATCAGCAGCAGCATCATCATCAGCAACAGCAGCATCATCACCATCACCGTCGCACCCCTACTGGTCACCCCACGCGACCCCATCCCCCCCCCCGGGCCATCCTGCCGCTTCTCCACCTCCCGCCTCCCGCCCCTCCTCCGCACGCCCCGCCGCCGCCCTCTTCCCCCGAGACCGCCGGCGCCGAGTCGGAGCCCCTGGCGGAGCCAGAGCCGCCGCCGCTGGAGCACAGGCGCCTCGGGCCTGGATCGGGTGTAGGCAGGACCCCGGGTAAGGGGACCCAGTTAGTGGTAGAGCCCTGGGGCCCCTCAATTGGCCAGATTCACTAAACCAGGTTTGCCGTAACTGGTGTTTTTCGGGTGACGGCAGTTCCGTTCTAGTGGAAATGGGACGGGGGGCCCCCCCCGTACGAATCACCAGGTTCCACTAAACCCAGTTCTGCCAACGCCCGACTGGATTTGAGTCGGAGATTGATGGACCTCCTACCCTGACACGTCGATTAGCGAATTGGCCGTTTTCGGTTCGCGAGAGGGCATCGCGGCCGTCGTTTTTGCGGGTCCAGGTCTGTCGGTTTCGGTCCTGGGCCGTTTTCACTAAAGGGTGGTTTCTTAAAGGGAGGTTTGTCCACCGCCGATTTGAGTCGGGCATGTCCCTTTACAGGAGGAGCACTTTGAGGATAGTCAAAAAATAGCCTCGGGACGATGTTTCGTCTATTTGCGGCTATTATTGAAGAATTGTTTGTTTGACAATTCTCGCATTTGTCGTCCAAAACCCGCCTGTAGGAGGACATGCCCGACCTAAGTCTAGATACGGTAGGGTCCTGTCGTTAAGGATGCCCAGGGACACAAAATAAATAGGCGCCAATCCCAGGGCTCCGTATATTTTCCAGTATTTCCTGGGTTGTCGTTTTCCCCCCCGCTTCCCCTATTGTCCCATATTTCCCTTGGAGTCGACGATTCATTGTGTCTGTGTTGTTCCCCCTCCTGAGTCGTGTCGACCGGCGACGACCCCGCCGCCGGCGTTCGACGTGGAACTCCGCCGGCGACCCAGAATCGATCGATGCTGAACGATCAGACGTCTCGGAAACGGCCGATCCTGCAAGGTTGTGGAGGATCCCCGCGGCGTCGGGAACAAGCGGCGGGGTCGACGCGACGAGGTCGCGCGGGTCGCGAGTTCCGTGGGCTGGCAAGCCTCGGACGTCGGTTGGCGCACGGGTGTCACGCCAGGGCCCCCCGCGGGCCGCGCACGGCCCGCAGCCCCCCGCCGCGCCCGAGGCCCCCACGCAGCGCGAGGGAGGTCTGGGCAGGGACGCCCGCGCAGAGGGGGGCTCGGCCACGGGGGGAGGCCCACCTGGCCACAGCGGGGCCCCTCCCGAGCGACGAAAGCCAAGCGGGGTCGACCGCGCCGACGTTGGCGCTCAAGCTCCCCGGAGGGAAGAAGGAGGAGGAGGAGGAGGAGGAGGAGGAGGGGGA